ATATATATATATATATATATATATATATATATATATATATATATATATGGCCTACAGGATATAGTGGAGTAACTAATATTAACCTCGAGTAATAATTTCTAGGCAACACTAAATCTGATTAAGCTATATGTCTGACAAATATTTAATAGCTTTACATGAATCGACATGTATGCTATAAAGATATATGCCCATGCCCCACACAAAATCTGAGTAAGAACACAGGTATAGCCATGATGGAATTCAAACATTGATAATGAGCTTAACATCAGAAATCAAGTGGGAAAAAAGAGTCGGGCATACCATATCCTTCCATAGAGATGATTTGCAAATCACCACCAAAATAACGAGCATATAGACGACTAATTGGGAGCCCGAAACCATAACCAGCCATAGTTACACCGTTTGAGACTCCTTTGTAGTTTTCATCTGGTGGATCTTTTGCAGTGCTATAGAGATACGTGAAAATCTTTGGAAGGCCACTTCTCGGTATTCCTCCCCCTTCGTCTGAAATCTGGAACAAATAATGATAGATCAAAATCCATATGACTGTAGTGCTCAAACAACAAATCTTTAAGTTCAGCATACTTAGATGATGACATTGGTTGAAATTTTTGGAATTTGGAATGTACCTTCAGGAACATAGAGCAATCCCTTCGAAAAAGAATCACAGGAACATGTGGCAACAAGCATACTACATGCATGAGCAATCATGATGGTGTAAACAAGTAAGAGGAGATATAGGAGGGGGAAGACAACCCTTGCTATATTTCTTGCTCTAGACATGCAGAATTTATAACCATTAAACATATAGTTCACGTAAAACGTCGAGGTCAATTTGCAAAATTTGAAAAAGAATTTTTCATACTTTAGGTGCATGATTATCTTAATTCTATATAATATCCAGGTTGGAGGTTAATAAAAAGATCTATGCAAGAATTTTGCATGTTTCTTTATCTTCATGTAGCCAAAAACAGATCATATCGTAGTAGAAGGTTATTGTATGTATTAGTTCTTATGAGACCCTTTAAAGTTCTTTGGTAGGAGAGAAACCTGGTAGTTCAGGTGGCAGTGAGCTAGAATTTGTGAAACCATATTGTCTGGAAGAACATTGCTCATGTTCTTCTTCTGATGGAGTTATGATCAGTCAGAAAAAACTGTCCAAGCAAGTAAGATAAATACGCTTGGTCTTGCTCCATTTCTCTATTTTACTTTACTTTCTTTGTCTGTCTTAGGAAACTGGATCAGGAGGATTTGCAAAATTTATTAATACTTTTGAGAGAAAAAAAATGAATTTCTGAAGAACTTCACTGAGCAATCAATGAAATCGCTCTGTTGAACCTGTCAGAAGAAATAGCATGCAAATAAAGCAGTTTCTTCTCAATTTTCTTTCCATTTTCTATCTTTCTGAATGCCTGATCATAAGCTATTCTTCTGCATCAGATTCAAGCAGTTTTATGAGACAACGGATAAACGGAAATGATACAAAAGCAACAAGGATTGATTAAATCATAAGCAATGGATAAATTTGTTCAACTAGTCTCTTCTCATGCCAACAGTTCCCTGATTACCAAGTATGAATAGGAAACAAACAGTAATTGCAAAGGTAAGCAATTGCTGAAGGCATACCTTTATTGTGACATCCTCTATCCCATCAGCAACAATAATTCTAACAGGGGGGACATCCTTGTCAGAATTCATGTGACGTTCTTGAACTGCACGCAGAGAGTTCTTTACCAACTCAAAGACCATGAGATGCAAATGTGATGGCACATACCTAAAAGGAAACAGAAGTAGAAGAAAGAATCGGATAAGTTCACTTGAAAGTAACAACCATAAGTTCAATTCCAATGTGAACATTACATGAATAGTCTCAAATTCATATAAGGAGAATAAACATCCTTCCACCTTGTTAAAGAAAAATAACACTGTATAACAACATTTAAAATTGTTAATATGAAAATTAAAATAACTCAAGTAGCAACTTCAGATGCTTTTGCTTGTAGGAAAGAGACAATAAACAATTCAAAGTCCGTCGCTATATATGCAGATGCATCAGCAAGCAATTTCAAGGGAAGGGAAGCTTCAAGACAGGTGGGAAAGACAAGAAACAAAAGACAGGATTCTTAGTCAACAGCAAGGTAACACTATTTAATAATATGTCTATAGCTTGACATGAGCATGCAACCTTACAAACTACAGAATTTTCAAAAAAATAACATTAAAAAATCATTTTAATATTTTGCTTATGAAAATAATGCTTTACAAGCTATGGCAATTAACATAGTGAATAAATATACAAGCAATACTCACGGGAAGGTGAAATTTGGATCTCCATATATGTTAACCTCAGGAGCGCTCCCATATTCCCGATAACAAATACTGCGGGCATCCTCACTAGCAAGTTGGGCCACTAGCATTGGAGAAAGTCCAGTGTTTATTTGACCAATACATCCTGGTTCTGGATCAGGATCATGCAAAGCCACATGCTGCCCTGAATTTCACTCAAATCAGAAGTTATTATGTATCCAAAGAGAATAAAAGGAAATCATGCATGTGTCTGTTTCCATGTAGATCATACAGCATAATGGAATTTAAAGGCCTTTAAGCAATTGAGAACAAGATTTCTGCTGACCTATAAGCATACGGATCCCAATTCTTGACAAGTAAAAACGGTCAAGAAATTGATGAATCTCTTCGAGTTCTTCCGGCACGACCTTGCGGTTCATGTCTCTCTTCAGCTGCTGTACACCTAAAGCCATAGCCGGTACAACGTTGTTATGCCTCACCTTGATCATCTTAATCATTTGAGTGAAAGCTAATTCATCACTTGTATCTTTGATTTCTGGAAATGATCGAAGATCACGAAAAGAATCCAGATACCAGTCTCTGACCTAAAATGGACACTGGAGATGTCAGTATTTAATATGACAAGCAGAAACTGTCCATAGCAGATTTTGCAATCCATGTGAAAAATGAAGAGGCAAGAAGGAAAACAGAGAAACCATCAAGAATCTGTCGTCCACAACTGATGTCATTCTATGGAAATATTGCATTAAAGGTCAAATAATATGCAGTGCACTACATCAAACAGAAAGGATACCTAAATGAAATCTAAAAGTAGCTAAAAATTCAGCAAGGGTTCAGACTAAAGAAATATCTGTCATCATGTTAATTAAACAGTGCCTATCTAGGCAAAGGAAAAGATAATCATAGGATCATGTCCTTCACCTTCCACCGGGTAGTTTTCCCGACAATATCGCGCGAAGTAGTATGTAACAGAATAGAAATGACACAACGTGAACCGAAACTTTCATTTTTAAGACAGCTAGACATCGTCGGAGAAGAAGAATCTCATTCTGCATCAAATTAATAGCAGGAGCATGCAAAATAATAAGTCGATTATAATAACTCCAAACCTAGACACTGTGAAGAATCAGCAGAGAATTTTCTTAAGCCCAAAATCTTAAAGCTATGTTACTCTCCAACAGTGCAAATAGGTGCTAATTAATCTGCAGAATGTGCATGGATCGCAGCAGAATCCATCCCAAATCAATGCAGTGAATTCTCCAAAGCTGTAAACATGAACCTATTAGCAGAGAGCACAGAGATGCTATCCTTGCACATATATATTATGCCCACATATAGCTTGGAAATCACGTAAACGATACCATTCAGAGGGAGCCTAACTGGCTACCAAAATACCAAACAAAGCACGAAATTGAGGATCAGCTCGAAGTCTCTGCTTAATTTAGTGCAACTTCGCAACACAAGATTACAATCTTCGCGAGGCCGGGAGAAAGGAAAAGGTCAGATTCCCGATACCCGACAGGTATTATTCCTCGATTTCCCAGCTCAATCAGCTAAAGGTAGCACGAGAATCAAAATCGAGCACAGCAATCACATCCATCGCCAGAACTAACATGGCGAGACCAACCGAACAGAAGAAAAACCAGGATCCAGCTCCCGCAGCACAATGAAGAGAAACGGGGGAGTACCTTCAAGACGGCGGGTTCGTCGGACAAGCCGAAGGGCAGGGCCTCCAACTCAATGGCCCGGCGGGCGATCCGCGTGGGGAGCTCCTTGTGGAGGAACTGCGCGGAGAGGAGGAGGTTCTTCTGGGTGGGGCGGGCGCCGAACTCCATCATGTAGCGGAGGCTCACCCCGGTCTGCTTCATGCCTCCCCAGCGCTGCACCTCGTCGGCCAGCGCCTTGGAGAAGGACTCCGCCGCTTTTTTCACCGCCATGGCCGAGAACATCAAAAGGAAGAGGCGGGAGGCGGAGGTCCCGAAAGCGAAGGCATCGAGGGTGGGAGCAGTACGAAGGAGGAGGAGGAGGGAGAGGGGCGAGGGCGGATTATAAGCAGTGGCGGAGAGGAGGAGAGCGACGAGGATCACAAAGATCGGGCCCTCTTTGGTAATTTTACCTTCTCAGGGGCCTTTTTAGTAATAGCAAAATAGTTGCGTATCGAGCCGCGAATTGTTCGTCGCGTGCGCGCGCGAGTGAATACGGTTGGTTGCATTTTTTGCATTCACCTCCCTGTCAAAGTTATATTATCTTAACGGTACATGCGTGGTAGGCTGACCAACGGAGGTGACACGTGGCATTTACTCGCACGTAGAATGGTGAGAGACATTCGGGCCCCGCATGTTGTGATGGCCGAGTCATCTGTGTTCGTGGGTCTTTGTGCCGCTTGAGTTGCGCATTTTTTTCATTTAACTCCCTGTGTAACATCGTATTCTCATAGTGGTCCAAATACGACGTGGACGCCAACGAGAGGCGCTGCGTGCGCGGAAGGAAAACGTGTCCTTTACTCGCGCGCAAATTGGTAGAGACGGCGGGCCCCACATGATGAGGTGGCAATCCGCAATCAGTGCGGTCCGATCCAATCAAATAGATAGTGTGTTAATCACCACTTAACATAATCAAAAAGTACTTTTGTTAGCACTAATTCATTTATTATGATTAAAAATTAGATAATTATTTATTTATATTTTTAAATATATTTATTTTATTTTATATTTCAACAAAGTAGGAGCAAAAAATATTGGTTGAATATGATTGGAAGTATAATAATAAAAAAAGGATATAAATTATTCCATTAGGACAATATTAGATTCATCTAAATATGTCGATATCAAAATTTTTCATATAAAATAATTTTTTTATTTTTTAAAAGGATAAATGATGAAAATGAGATCTAAGATAAGGATCTTTATAAGTTGATCTAGTCGACACATTTAGGAAAAAAAATCGAACAAAGTTTTTTTAAAATAATAATTAATTATATAAAAATCCATCATCTTACATGTTAATTATATATATATATATATATATATATATATATATATATATATATAATTTAGATATATACGTTTCGACATGATATCACAGAAGAAGTTTGTACGATAATGTTGTCTCATGGACTTTGACACGTATGATTCCGTAAGATTCATAGAAGGTCATATCAATATCATCATTATCGTTAATATTACTAGGGTTCAATCGAAATTTCATTCAAATTATACAATTAAAACCACATATTCCTCTCATAATTATAATGTGGTGTGATCTCTTAGAAAGCCAATATATCATATCCACAAGTGACTACATCACCTTTTAAATTTTCAAGGCCTTCAAATAAATAATTTTTTATTTCCATGTTTCATTTGGCTTGTCGAAAGTGGGAGCATCAAGTTTTTATGAGCCACACATGTGTTTGATGTGTAGAGAGAGTATATTGTGGCTCACATTTCCCATGAATAAGAATATTGTCATCAAAAGAGACCGAAGTCTTCCTCCAACAAAGGATTTGTGGTTCTTCAAGATTCCTATTCCCACAATATCATCAAAGTATGTGTCACATTTTTTATCAATCCTAATTGTTTCTATAACCACTCATTTAGTATGTGTTAGATAATTGACATGACATTCCAAAAATACTATTTTTGGTATTTTCATTTTTCTTGATGAGGTTAAATAAAGCCATGTTGGATATGTACCTAACAATCAATATTCTTATCGGTTCGAATAATAGATCATATATATCGATATCGATCATTATTATTATTATTTTAAATATTATAGAAAAAGTACCTTATTTTAAACATCTAAAATAAATATTTATAAGAGATGATTATTCCCTTTTGTTGGATCCATATGAAAGGAATATTAGGAAGAATCCATGATACCATCCATCACCTGTGTTCTTTAGTGGATACAAAGAAGCATAAGATATACACATCACACTTATTATAGCCTTCTTTATTATAAGTAGGAGAAAGACTCGTTTGAGAGATGCTACCAACATCTCGGTGGCTTAAGGCAACTACGTGAATGGAATCATCACAACTTGTTTCCTAAACCAGTGGAGATCAAAGTGGTCGGAATCGATTCAGTCCTAACATGAAATCGATCCAATGCACTCGTAAAATAAAATATTATTTCTTTCGAGTTCTGATGAGGATAATAATTGCGATAAAACTCACGTGACATCAGTTGCACCAGGTGACGCATCACGTCTCTGTTGACTTGATGAGGCATTTGGTCAATGTGGATCGGAACGCCTACCAAGACGCATTAACGCTATGTTTAGGTTCGATCCCTCACGCCACGCCAACGCCAACGGCAACGTCAGACGTTACCAGAAGTACGATCCCACTTCCTGCGGGCCAGCACATCAAACAACGGTAATTCTCACTATAAAAACTCTCGCACTCCGAAAAAAAAGGGGGGAGAAAAGGGAGAAATCCCCTAGGACCATCCACCCCGACCTTTGTGCAGGTGCGAAGGCGGAGGTCGTCCACCAAAGGCGCAGGCAGGGGTTCTCTCCCGGTGGAAACGACGATCCCGTCCCAATCGGAACACCGTGATCGGTCACCTCAACAGTCGAGAGGAGTGTCCCATGAAGATCCCAGTCATCCTGACCCGAACCAAGTCGCGTCGGTCCCGAGGCCACGGCTTAAAGTTGTTCACACCAACAGGTTCTTATGCTATTAATATCATAATTGATCATCGATCCACAACATTCAGTTGAGTCGACTTAGTTGACCATTTGAAGATCGTCACAACTTGAGAATCGAATCGGTTCTAATAAGAAAAATGAACGTAAAGAAGGTGTTGATGATCTTTCTAATATTATAAGAACACATACACGACACTTTGAGATCTTAATTGACTAGAATTGCAATGTTCTACATCATCAGCGTGACTAAGCACACATCGTTCTTCGACGGCTAGAATTGCAACAGAGCTGAAGGTCGAGAGATTTCTTAGCTAAACTTTGACATCTTCTGACGTGATACGAAGAAAAAGTAGAAGCCTTCGTGTTCATCTTCTCCGCTATTAGATTAACCCGAAAGCCGGCCAACATCCATTAAGTATTATTATGATGTTGTGGGATTGGGACGTGTTGGATTGGCATGCAATAAAAATGTCACATCGATTTAGGCATCCAAACATGGGACGAGTGGTGTTCTTAGGACGACCTTTTTCGGTGAGTCGAAGGTGGATCGACGGAGTGCGTAAGGCAATAAGGTCTCCTTTAGGCTTAGCGGATGGCGTTTGCATTGGCTTTGTTAAGGGAGATAATGGAAGAGTTTGATACGTGACAACAAGGAAACGTAATGGTGTAGAGATATGATAGCGATAGGCGTGTAATTGATTGCTTTATGTAATTGGTTTTGATTCGAATAATAAAAATGTATTGAATATGAGAGATAGAGAGAAAAAGAGGACGGTTAATTATAAATTATTAATCATATAATTAGTTACTTTTAGTATTTTTTATTCTCATATTTTTAAAAATTATATTAAGATTTTTATATTTATGAAAGTAAAATATTGAG